TGTAAGCTGCATGGCAAGAACGGACTCCTGCATTACCAAATCACCACCGAATTACTCACCAGAAGAACTACTCGACGAACGCACACCTCGTCGCGAATCGCTGGAACCAAATCCAACGTACGCCGCCATCGCTCAGAACGAGCCGTCCGGCCAAGACACGTGGTTCTTAGACAGCTGCTGCGGACAACACATGTGCTCTTCAGGCTGCTTTGTTCAACGGGAACAACGCCTCAACTGGGAAGTCGTGATAACCGTCGCCAACAACCAGAACCTGCGCACACGACGACAAGGGGTAGTTCAACTGCAATCTCTCGAGACTAACGTTATTCTACAGATGTCAAAGGTTCTAATTGCAGAAGGACCCGGCTACAACCTACTCAGTACAAGCTAGCTTATGGCAAAAGGGGTCCACCTCGAAGCCGACAGCACCACCCAAGAGTTCAAACTATACTACGGGAAGGGCGGACTTTACATCGGGAAAGCTGTCCGGAAGAACAACGTCTTTGTTCTCGACTTCGTCCTAGATCGAGGCACTGCCAACAGCGACGGGATAGTCAACTTCACCACTTGGACGCACCCGCCGGATCTCGACCCCGACTTCAGTCCCGGAGGTTTCCAGTACTCACACACCATACCTGAAGTAGAACGGACAAGGGCGTTGGCGGTAACACAACAGACAACAGCAGTAGCAGCAACATCGGCAGCAGCAGAAGCAACATCTGCAGAAGCAGAAGCAACATCGGCAGAAGCAAAAGCAACATCGGTAGAAGCAGAGACAACAGCACCAGCACCAACAACAAACTTCCCTATCGCCGGTCCTTCATCAGCATCACCTCCCATCAACGACCCCGCACCGACTCCCGCCCAACAGCTGACTCCCGCTCTACGCGACGTTCACAGAAGTGCCAACATCACCGCAAGCTTCTATTCCAACTCCGACCTGTACAGGCGATCACCTGGACATCGCGCTGACGAATCACTGTGGCATCAAAGGTTACGACATCCCAGCAACACGACACTGAACAACACGATAAGAGCAGGAGTTCTTGAGAAAGACTCATTACTCTTACCAGACGGCAGAGAACTCCAACGGGTCCGTGGAACCTGCTTTACCTGCCCCGAAGCCGACTTACCTCATCAGCCGTTCGTCTCTCACCACAACCCAAGCGCACCAGCATACGCACCACTGGAGAAGGTCTACAGCGACATATTGTACACCCGCGAAAGCGGACAAGGAGCTTACAACTACGTGATAACGTTCATCGACGCCGCCACCAGATACGTTTGGCACCTCAACCTACCAAGCCGCGACATGGCCTTCGAAGCCTTCGTCGTATGGCTCTCAGTAGCAGAAAGGGAGTCCGAAGTGAAACTAAAAGGTTTTCAGTCTGACGGGGGAGGAGAATATCAATCACAGAGGTTCAAGCAATACCTGGCGGAGAGAGGCATCAAGCGACTCATCTCCCTCCCTTACGCTCATCAACAGCAAGGCGTGTCAGAAAGGATGAATCGGACCCTCCAGAACACCATGCGCAAGCTACTACGTGGCATGCGATTACCCAACAGTCAGTGGCCTGAGGCGATGGACCACAAAAATGTTATGAGTGTTTGGCTGCATGCTACAGTACCGACCCCACACTGCACGAGCCGGCCGATTCTCACAACGCGCACAGTGGGGGCTACACCTGGGCATCGAAAAACATTACAACGCGTGGAACTACTTCGACGTCCACTCGAAAGAAACAGTAGCAGCACGTGACGTTCTTTTCTACAAACGACTCACCCTTCAAACGTACCTGGACAACCTGGAAGCAGAACGAGACCCCACGGGTGGCTTCCGTGGCAACCGAGCCTTCGCCTCGCCAGCAGATGAGGCTGACTGGGATGAACAAAACGTGGTCGGAGCATTGGAGGAAGCCGGACCTCTGCCCTATTGCTCAGTACCTGTTCCGATGGATGACGAAAACCCTCGCGAAAGTGTCAACGCCGAAGTCTACTATGACTTCGCCGACAACGGTTACGTTACACCCCAACCCGTCAACACCAATGTCTCAGATTGCATAGGCCCCAATTTTGTACCTGATCCAGAAGCGGGAGACGAAGCAGTCTATCCCGAGGATCCAAGCCTCCCCCGAATCACACAGAGTGGGCTGCAAATTATCGGCCTTGTCACTGCCGTCCATGGAGCGTCGCTGCCGCGAGAGCCTACTACAGTCCAGTAGGCTCTGGGTGGGGAGCACAGTGAAAAATGGTGCGAAGTCATGGACAGGGAGCTAAAAGGTCTGGAAGACCGCAACACGTGGAAGATGGTCCCCATCGCAGCAGCACGCAACAAAACCATACTCACAGGAAAACGGGTTTTCCGTGTGAAAACAAAGGCAGACGGAACAATTGACAAGTTCAAGGCACGATGGGTCGTGCGTGGTTTTGATCAACAGCACGGACGGGACTTCACCAAAACTTTCGCGCCGGTCAGCCGATACACCTCACTACGAATTCTCCTCGCAGTAGCCGCCATGAAACGCAAGAAGCTCCGCCAAATCGACGTGGCCAATGCATTCCTCTACGCTCCCGTCGATGCATAGATCTTCGTCGAGCAACCGCACGGATCCATCAAGGACCCCGACCAAGTCTTTCAGCTACTAAAGTCACTGTACAGAATCAAACAAGCTCCGTGACTATGGCAATAGTACCTGCACACCCGACTGATTCCCGTCGTCTTCCAGCAACTACCACACGATCAAGGGATGTACAGACTCACAAAGGCAGCAGAGTACATTCTGCTCATCGTCTATGTAGACGACCTACTCTACATAGGTTCCACCGACGGCATCACCACCTAGTTTGAAGGGGAGCTGCAACAGGATCTCTCGCTCACTGTCTCCCCGACCGTAACCCAATACCTGGGGCTCAACATACTCGACGGAGAGAACGCGATCTACCTCAGCGCCGCAAAATACGCCGACACCATCGCAAAACGCTTCGGACTAACGCCAGCCACCATTTCCATGCCCTATCGCTACACCGTGGGAAACCACCAGGGAGAATCCAATCCGCTCGGACCTGCCGGCCTACGCGATTACCAGCGGAAACTGGGATGTCTGCTCTTTGCAGCTGTCACCTGTCGACCGGATCTGTCATACTCGGCGAGCAAACTCGCTACCTACCTCAAAAGGCCTGAAGCTGAACATATGGCGGAACTCGATCGCGCACTGCACTACCTCGTCGGCACACCAGCAACCGGCCTAACCTATCACAAAACTGCAACCACGAATCCAAAGCTAATCGGCTATGTGGATGCCGACCACGCAGGCGACTCCGACAACAGACGATCGCGCACCGGCTACATCTATCGACTTGAGCCCGTCGGTCCTATCTCGTGGCAGTCAAGCAAGCAAGAGCTAATTGCTCTCTCTTCTGCCGAAGCAGAATACGGTACATCGCACTCTGCACAGCCACCAAGGAAGGACTGTACCTTCGCAAACTTTTGGAAGAAGCAAAGCTGGCCCAGTTACCCAGCTTCTCCCTCTTCTGCGACAACCAATCGGCAATTCGCATAGCAAACAAGAACGGGTTCGCGAACCGAACGAAACACATTGCCCTGCGATATTTCTTCGTGAAGGACGAGATCGAGAAAGGAAGAGTCGAGCTATCCTACTGCCCCACGTCCGAGATGGCAGCCGATTACTTGACCAAGAAACTTGGAAAGCAGAAGTTCGAATACTGTATGTTGCTGACTGGACAAGGCCACGTCACCAGCGACGAAAGTGACGACACTCCATAAGCGAAGGGGAGTGCTGGAAACATACAGTTCACGCTTCTGATGTGTCGAGCACTATAACAAGAACGAAGCAGATCCACAGCGAAGCAACACCGAGTCAACCAAGTTACAGCGAAGCAGTTGACAAAAGCTACAACAGCAAGAAGTTGAAGCGAATGTCAAAGTTCAGCAACCTTTTACTCGACGAAACAGCACGTCAGCAAGGACAAATACCTGACTCGCTATTGAGCAGTTACCCAAGTCGTCGCTGTATCAAACCGCATTAGCAGTTACAATTGCAGTTAGTAAAACCTTTCATATTCCCTGTACCGTAATCATATAAAAGCCTTGTATCTCTATGCTATAATCAACTTATCTTGTTCTCACATACCAGTACAACGTGGTTCAACCAGTCTCATTAAGACGCTTCCGCTAATACATTATCACTCTGAGCCTTAGTCATTGAAAACGATCCTAAGGGCTGTCTCAGCCCGACAGAGTTTTGTTGCCCCTCCATTCTCATCTGCACTCTATACTCACATCACATCCATCAGAGAAATCCCAACAGAAAAGGTGACTCTACGGGAGTGTCAAAACCGAGAGCTTTCAGGGTTGTGCTGGCAGTGGCACGTCATGTACTGTGATCCTTGCCTCCTCTCCCACATACTATGCCCTGTGTGTTGCCACACGACACGGCCCACTGTCCCCCCAATGGTCAGGATGAGTCGGCCAGTGGAACACTGGTGACTGCAGCCCCACCAACCACTCTCATCGCCCATCACAAAGCTGGAACGCATCAATCAGCTGCAACCAACCTGGTACGAAATGCATAACAGGAGACTGGGAGGTACCAACAGGCGATTGGGCCCACCTTTTGAGCAGCTTTCTTGCTCCAACAAACTGGAAGTAGATTTCCCATTCCCCGTGAGTTGCATTGCAGGAGACTGGGAGGTACCGGTAGGTTAGAGAACCTTGGTACATGCTGTTGTAAACATCATTACGTACCAAGCATACAGATACAGTAGTGCAGCCCTTGGGCTTGGCCACTCAGCAGTCGGCTTCAGAGCTATGGGAGGCCTGTGAAACCTAACGGCTAGTGCTGCATGACGCTTCTTGCCCAACTTTCTTCAATCGAAACAGATTGGCCCCGCAGGCATTAACACAACAATCAGCAGACGCATGTTTACAGCCTAATGAAGGCAGCACGCCAACTCTCATGCTAGCACAATGGGTCTTCCCTTCATCGCTTCTTGCTCTGCGCTGCCTTCTGCTTTTTTTTCTTGGCAGCTTTGGGCACCTTGGTGAGTCGAGCCACACGCTTCTCCTCCTTCACCTTCTTCTTGTTCTCCTTGCGTGCCGCCCTCACCTCCTCCTTGCTCACTGCTCCCCCCCTACCCCGCCTCCCTCCCTCCTCACCTCCCTCATCCTCTGACAAATCACTTCCCTCCTCGCTCCCCTCCTCACTCCCCTCTTCGCTCTGCTGCTCCTCCCTGCCCTCCATCCCCTCTGCTCCCCCACGCTGGTCGCGCGGCACCATCCCTTCACCACCCCTTTCACTCTCCTTCCTTTCCTCCCCGTCAACCCCCTCCCCTCCCGCCCTCACTACCCCTGCGCTCTCCTCGCCCTCCTGCCCGCCCTCTCGCCGCCCTTCCGCACCGCAGCCCCCCTGGGCGGCCTGCAGGATGTCGGGCAGGGTGCGCACGCCAGAGAGGTCCTCCTTGAGCCCCAGCAGCGAGCGGTAGAAGATGCCCTCCAGAGGGGGCGCCACCGACGATGGAGCTGCTGCTGCACTGCTGCTGCTGCTGCCAGGTGCTGCGTCTGCCGCTGCACCCACTGCCCCGCCTTGCTCTCCTCCTTCACCCTGTGCTGCCCCCAGCTCCGTGCTGCTGGATGCATCCCCCCGGCCCTGTGCCGCTGCGAGGTGCTGCGCTGCTGCCCTGGTGGCGGAGGCGATGCGGCGGATGTCCTTCTCCGCGTCCTTCACCTGATCCAGTGACTGCGGTATGAACGACTGTGTGGGGAGGGGGGGGGAGGGGGGAAGAGGAACGGGGTTGGATGGATGGATGTCGGGAGGTGACTGGAGTCAGGAGAAGAGCAGGTGGGCTAAAACGTGGAAAGGCAGCAGGTGCAGTGTGATGTGACTTTTGAGACGTCTCAAAAGGCAGCAGGTGCAGTGTGATGTGACTTTTGAGATGTCTCAAAAGGCAGCAGGTGCAGTGTGATGTGACTGACCTGCAGGAAGACGGCTTCAGCGATGGCCTCCTGTGCTGTTGGCTCCAACGGCCTGCTGGCTGCCCTCTCTTGCAACTGCCCGTGCCATGTGCACACAAGGAGAGATGCAGAGAGATCAATGGGGATGTACAGTGGTACAGGCACACATGCATGCACAGAATATGAACATGAAAGCGCAAAAGGTGTAACAAGAAACACAGAAACCCAAACACACGCGCACACATGCAAGCACAGCAAGCACATCAAGCACAGCAAGCACATCAAGCACATGCAGTGGCCCCACCCCACCTTGTGCAGGCAGTCGTCCACGAGGTTCTCCGGCATGACGGGGTCCGTGACAAAGTCAAACAGCTCCCTCACCGTCAGCACCGCCATGCCCTTCCGCCGAAAGAAATCCTGTGTTTGGGACGATTTAGGACGGGCACAAGCGAGGATCGCACAAGCGATCAAAAGAACGGGCGTGGGTGGCACTTTGCTGGCTTGTGCACTTCAGTGGGTGCTAACGGCAAGGCTGGATTACTGGCAATGAGATGCACTCACAGTGACGTGCACGCAGTCCTCTCGGAGGAAGTCGAGCGCCCGGGGATGGTCCAGATCCACCGACTGCGACACGTCTATCACCCACACGCGCCCCTGGTGGGTGGCACAGTGGGGCATAGAGAGGGGCATGGTGGGGCACGGTGAAACATGAGTAGACATAACTTTGAATACCGTTACAGATATATATAGTTTGACTACAGGCATAAAGCAGTGGTGGTACCTGGAAGTAGAGCAGGTGGCACGGACCTGGAGGTAGAGCAGGTGGCACGTATCTGGAGGTAGAGCAGGTTGTATTCACTGAGGTCGCACCTGGAGGTAGAGCAGGTTGTATTCACTGAGGTCGCACCTGGAGGTAGAGCAGGTTGTATTCACTGAGGTCGCACCTGGAGGTAGAGCAGGTTGTATTCACTGAGGTCGCCGTGCACGAGGCGGCAGAGGCGGTACATGCGCCACATGGCCTCCACCACCTGCCCGTAGCACTCCCTCCACCGCCCCTCTGACAGCTGCACGTCCTTCAGCCTCGGCGCTCCCCACCCCTCCGTGCCTGCCGTGCCATGCCCATGCCATGCCATGCCATGCATGCCATGGCCACAAAGAGTTTCAAATGATTGAGCTGGAGATTCTAATGGGTGTGCAAAACGAGTGAAAGACTGTTGTGGCGCAATGCGAAGCAACTGCGAGTGTCATGATAAGCAACAGCACGACACAACGCTAGCATTGAGGCGCTCAGTACAACAATGTTGCTTGCTCCCCCTTCACCTCCACACGTACCGATGAAGGACATGACGAGCACATGCATGCGCAGCATGAGTGGCACTGGACACGTCACTCCTGCCGCCCGCAACCTGGCACACGGCCGGAACCAACAGGAAGGTGGCAACGCGCGGTAAGAGTAAGCATGGAGGGACGGAGTGAGGGATGCGGAAACAGGATGCGAGAGAGGCCTCACGGCAGGGCAGTGGTGGGCTGTGCAGGTCCACACGGCGCAGTGCCTCTAGCGTGTCAGTGACAGATGGAACGAACAAGCGTAGCAAGGGAGGCATGGTAGGCGGGTCATGTATGCACGCACCGGTTGAGGTTGCGGAACTCCTTCTCGGCCCACACCTTCACCATCTTGCGAGGGTTGTGCTTGCTGTACCCGTGCCGGAACCGGTAGTCCCCCGCCACGTACCGCTCGCGGTCCCTGCGCGGCACCACCGTGGGATGGGGGTGGGGAGGGGTGTTGGCGGTTCGCAGGGGCCAATGGCAATAAGGGGAAGCGCACGAGGGGGAGCGCGAGAGAGAAGAGAACACGGGGATGGTGGCACATGAGGTGGGGGAGGGCGAGTGTCACTCACTTGAAGACGAGGATGGACGTCTTGTACACCTTCACTGCCAGCTCCTTCACTGCCAGCTCCTTCACTGCCAGCTCCTTCACTGCCAGCTCCTTCACTGCCAGCTCCTTCACTGCCAGCTCCTTCACTGCCTGCACCTCGCCCCCCTCCTGCACCCCCGCCCCCTCCCTAACCCCCCCAATCCCCAGTGCAGCGGGCATGTGCAGCGCAGAGGGGCGGTCCACCGTGGCATGGTACACGTTCGCCTGGGGGGTGGGGAGAGGAGCCAGGGGGGAGAGGAGCCAGGGGGGAGAGGAGCCAGGGGGGAGAGGAGCCAGGGGGGAGAGGTGCCAGGGGGGAGAGGTGCCAGGGGGGAGAGGAGCCAGGGGGGAGAGGAGCCAGGGGGGAGAGGAGCCAGGGGGGAGAGGAGCCAGGGGGGAGAGGAGCCAGGGGGGAGAGGGCGGGGAGGGGGCATGAGGCGTGGCACGATAGCAGTTGAGTGGAATGGCAGTTGAGTGGAATGGTATACATTCGCTGACAGGAGGGCGAGGCGGTTCATAGGGGAGCAAGGTTGGGGTATGGGGCGTGGTGTGACAGAGGGTAGGGGGAGAGGGGCAGGCAAGGTGGGTGAGGAGTGATGGTGATGGTGATGGTGATGGGGATGGTGATGGTGGCTAACCTCCTTGCAGCCGTTGATCTTACCTCCTTGCCGGTGGAGAGGCAGCCGTTGATCTTACCTCCTTGCCGGTGGAGAGGCAGCCGTTGATCTTACCTCCTTGCCGGTGGAGAGGCAGCCGTTGATCTTACCTCCTTGCCGGTGGAGAGGCAGCCGTTGATCTGCGAGAAGACCCCGCGGTTGAGCATCTTGAACAGCACCATGCGCGTGCGCGGATCCAGCACCTGCCGGGGGGCGCAGAGGGGGGAGGGGGAGGTGATGTGGTGGGAGAGGGGCGGGGAAGGGGAGCGGAAAAGTGGGTTGTTGGGGATAGATCATGAAAGGAAGAAGGGGTTTGACCAATCTTATGGTATGAGAGGAGGTGCGAAGTGAGATGCGAGGAGCAGGGCATGGAGTGGGCAGCATGGTTAAGGGCGATGAGGTGAGAACAGGTGGTTGCAAGCAGGTTACTGGGGGATGCTTGGAGGGGTGGAAGGGGTTCTGAGAGAGCCAGGAAGAGATTGAAAGGCAAACATGGATCATTAGAGTCACCTGTTCCACTGTGGCGCGGTCTGCCTTCTCCTTCAACCGCGACTGGCCCTGCTCTTGCCGCTTGTTCGTGTCGCGCACAGCTGTCATCACCACATTCGCCATGTTCGGTTGACAGCTGTCACCCCAATCCTGCCATGTCAGCATGCAACACCAACCAAACAAGGTGAAGTGTGGAGTGTGACGCACGTCCACTCCAGCAGCATGAGCATCCACGCTTGAATCCTCCCACTTTAACGCTCAACCCCTCCCATTAAAAGCATCAACCTAGACCCTCACACTTAAACCCTGAACCTCGAATGCAAAACCCCGACTACTAAAGCACATGTCACAAGCCCCTCACTCGCATGGGCGCGGCGTTGACTCGCGCGGTCAGCCGCTGCTGCTTGTTCACCCGCGGCTGCATCGCCCCCGCCGCGCCTCCCACTCCTGCTCCCCCTCCGCTGCCCTTCCCCGCGCCCCCAAACGCCGCCGCGCGGGCGTTCGCGTGCGCCTGATTCAGCTGCCCCCCGAAGGCGTTCGGCCGCCGCGCCGCAGAGAAACCGCCGCCGAACGCGCCGCCGCCAGTGTTGCCTCGCGACGCGAGATCTGTGAGGACGCGGACGACGAAGGAGGAGTGGGGGAGTGGGCGGGTGGACGGATGGGGAGGGGGGGGTAGAGCCGGGTAGGGGGGGTTCACACGATGATATCGAAGTGACTTGTGCGCGAATTCCCGGCCCGAGCAACGGGATGGCGGCGATCAGCACCGCCACGTGCACGCTTAACGACGAACGACATTTGATGCTGCTTTCTCGCAGACCCAGCCGGTCAGCTACCTTTTCTTAAATTAAACGAATCAGCTACACTCTCTTAAATACAGCCAATCAGCTACCTTCTCGCAGGTCCAGCCAATCGAGCGCGTCCAGCACCTCTTCTTCCACATCGCCATCCTCTTCCGCCCAATCATCGTCCTCCACGTCATCCCCTTCGGCGGCTGCAGCGGAAGGCTGCGCGGAGTCGTCCGCGTGGAGGCGCGAGAGCGTGTCGAGCAGCAGCTGCTGCGACGCCGCCGACAGCGGCGCGTCCGACTCGCTGTCTGCGTCAATGCCACCCGAATTAACGGCTAGCGGGTCCGCTGCCGGCATAGGGGGCGGCGATGGTTCCATACGGCAGGTCATGCCGACTTGTCGGGGAATAGGAGTGTGAATGCGAAGCGACAAGGCTGATTTCGGGTTGAGCAGAGTTTGGGGTTAGGAGTTTGCTGAAGCATACATCCTAACGGATTCTGGCGTGTTTTTGTTTCAATGAATTATACAGGTAGGCAATGGATCTATGCTTAGTGTAATTACTCCTATAGATTAGTGAGCATCAGTTCAGTTTAGAGTCTGGCTCCACCTACAATGAAAAATGAACAATGGATCCCTCAAAATGAGTGACCTCTTATCGTAATATTCATGCGCCACAACACCCAATATGCATGCAGTGAAGAGAACCAATTAGTACCTAGTCAAGTGATTTGACTAACAATTGCAGCGTAACATCCCTAACTAACAAATGTAGCAGGCAACCTCACAATACATAAGAAGGGTTGCTCCGTTGATCTTGGGCAAGCATGCCTTTTTCCCTGCTAAACTGCTGCCTGCCTGCATGATTGCGCACGCTCATGTGCTGCATGGCGCACATGTGCGGCCAGTGATGGCATGCCTGCTCTCCAGCGAACCATACCTCCGTCACTACATGAATACACACATCATGGGCCCGTGGCCTCGATAGATACACTGCTGTCCCCACTGCTGCCCTGTTCCCCCTCCCCACCTGCCCTCTGCACCAGCATGCAGCCTGCCAGTGCGACAGCGTTCCACAGCAGCCTGCCCCCCTCAGTGGTGCAGCTGTGGAGCCACGTGAGCAGCAGCCCTGCCCGACCCCAGCCTGCCACTCAAACTGCCCTTGAGGGGCCGCCACCTGAACGGAGCAGCTGCACACGCTTGCACCACCTGCTCCGACCCGCCCACCCCTCCCCCTCCTCCCTCTCCCTCCCCGTTCTCCTGCCCCTGCCCGCCCATCAGTGCGCCCCTCCTCTCCTTGCCGAGCTCGCCATTCCGGCTGCTACTGCTGCTGCTGCTGCTGCTGAGAGAGCGGCGCATGGAGCGGCGAGGGGACAGGCGCAGTGGCTGCAGCAGCACCTTCAGGCTCGGCTCTGTATCCCCCAGACACGACACCCCTGGGGGAACCACTGCTGCTGCTGCTGCTGCTGCTGCTGTCACCGGCTTCGAAGCTGCAGTGCTGCCGGCTACAGCAGTGCCAGCTACAGCACCGCCGGCTACAGCACTGCCGGCTACAGCACTGCCGGCTACAGCACTGCCGGCTACAGCACCGCCGGCTACAGCACTGCCAGCTACAGCACAGCCAGCTACAGCACTGCCAGCTACAGCACTGCCGGCTACAGCACTGCCGGCTACAGCACTGCCAGCTACAGCACTGCCGGCTACAGCACTGCCAGCTACAGCACTGCCAGCTACAGCACTGCCGGCTACAGCACCGCCGGCTACAGCACTGCTTGCATCAGCAGTGCCATCTGGCACCGGCACATGCACTCTCAAAGGGTCTGGAGGGACCGCTGTGCTGCCCCCTAAGCACACCTCCACTCCTATGGGGGCGGACTCCCCTCTGCTCTCTGCTGCACTGCCTGCACCGCCCACCCTGCCCTCGCTCTCTGTCTGCACCTCGCCACTCTCACCGCCATCCTTCACTCTCTCTCCACCCTCCTTGCTCTGCTCAGCCGACTGCTCGCCAGCGGTCTGCTGAACACCACCAGACAGAGAAGCAGCACATGGTGTGGGTTCGGGAGTGGGAGTCGGCGTGGGTGCGGGCGTGGGTGTGGATGCGGCTTGGGGTTTAGGCATTGTGCAATCAGCTGCCATTGTACTGCAAGCTTCTGTGTCTGCTATGCTGCTGAACCTGTCACTGCTGCCACTGCCGCTTTTCGCATCCCCCTGTGCTTCACCTGCCCTTACTACAAGCGCATCACTACTCCCATCCCCTGTGTCGCCTGCCACTGCCTCACATGCCTCTGCACCCCCCTGCAAGGCGCTCTCTCCTGCCCCTGCTACAGCCTGCACTGCTGCTGCTTCCATTTGCCCATGACCTGACTGTGATTCTTCTTCTAATTCTACTGCTGCTGCTGCGTGGCCAGCAGCATCTACTGCTTCTCGACTTACCGCAGTGCCAATACTGCCCGTGCCAATACCAGCACCAGCACCAGCACCAGCACCAGCACCAGCACCAGCACCAGCACCAGCACCAGCACCAGCAGCAGCAGCAGCAGCAGCAGCAGCAGCAGCAGCAGCAGCAGTGTGAGCAGCAGCGCCAGTGCAAGCGAGACTAGGATGAATGGCAGGGACAGGATCAGTAGGGACGTGGGCATCATGGCACATGCGAGGTTTAGGTTCAGGTGCTGTGGCATGTGGGGCAGAATGCAAGGGAGCAAGCGGTGGAGATTTACCGGAGGCAAGAGAGGTCGCACAAAGGACAGGCGATCGCGGGGCAGCTATGTTAGCGCTGCCACTGCCTCTGCTGCCTGCTGTGCTCTGCACTTCACCAACGGCCTTCACACTCGCGCTGCCACCACTGGTGTTGCCGTCACTCGCACTGCCGCCAAAAGTGCTGCTGCTTGTACCGGCACTCGTGTCGCTCGAGCCATCACTCACACCCTCGCGCTGTGGATGGGGAACGTGCCTATGGTTGCTGCCACTACCTTTCTCAATGCTGCTGCCGTTCCCCCTGCTGTTACCATCCCATGCGCTGCTGCTGCTGCTGCTAAAGCTGGCTCGCCCTGGCACACGTGCATCTGCACCGCTACTCCACTCCTTCACTCTGCTCGCCCCTGACCCCTTACTCCCCCCTTTCGCCCCACTCGCCCCGCCACTGCCACTGGCGCTGCCCCAGTCACCCCAAGCTCCCGCCTTCTTCCCCCCGCCCTCCCCCTCCGCGCCTGCAGTGCCCCCGCCCAGCCCCAGAGAGGAGAGGCGGCCGCGGCGGTAGTCAGAGGCGAGGGAGGAGAGCGAGCGGAAGAGCGCCTTCACTATGCGCTTCGTGCCGCTGCCCACCCCCCCCAACTGCCCTGACCCGCCCTTCCCCCCCTCTGCCTTGGCGCTCTCTGTCTTCGCCCCTGGGCTCCTCCCAAACGCCGCTGCCAGGCTCCGCACGGCACTGTTTGGCGTGTTGCCCGCACTGCCGCCCACACTGCTGCTTGTCCTCCCTGTCCCTGCTGCCCCGCTCGCCCCACCCGCCCCACTGTGCAGACCGCTGGCCTCCCCTGCGCCATCCCCTGGGCCCTCGCTCTCCCCCTCCCCGCCCGCAGCTCCGCCTGACACGGCATGTCTGGCGGCCCTCCTCAGCGCGGAGGCAGCAGCAGACGCAGCAGAACGAGCAGCGGACACGGGTGGGGGGGCGCGGCGGGGGGATGGCGTGCGTGGCGACTGGGGGTCGGCCTGAGGCGCGGGGTGCTGAGGGTCCGGTACCTGCAGCGCTGCCACGCGCCCTCCCGCACTCGCTGGCCGCGCTGCCTCGCCTGCCCTGCTTGGGCGCTCGTCACTCCAGTCCATCCCTGCTCTCCCTGGGCTCGCGCCCATGGGCGCCGCTTCCCCCTCGCGCGCGCCCACAGGCTGCGGCACAGGCAGCGCGGGCGCAGGGGGCAGGGGCGTGTGCGCGAGCCAGGGGTGCTGCAGCAGGAGGGGCGCGGAGAGGCGCGAGGCGGGGGTGGGGTCGAGCAGGCGGCGGATGAGCGCCTTGGCGGGCGCGGACACGGACGGCCAGGGTGGCGCCTGCAGGTTGAGGCGCCCCTTGGTGATGGCGCGGAACACCTTCTTCTCTGTGTCGCCCACGAACGGCAGGTCGCCTGCTAATAACGAGTACAGCACCACGCCCAGACTCCACATGTCTGCTGACGTGTCGTAGGAACGCCGCGCCAGCACCTCTGGCGCGACGTAGAATGGGCTCCCTGCGAAGCCCTGCGCGCGCTCCCCCGGCCCCAGGTGCAGCGCCAACCCGAAATCCGCCAGCTTCACGTGGAGCGGGGGCGCCGGAGGGGAGGGGGAGGGCGGACAGGCAGAGGCGGAAGGGGGAGGGGACGTTGGAGGGGTTGTGGAAGGATCTGCAATGGTGGGGAGGCAGTGGAGGGGAGAGGTGGGGAAGGCGGAGTAGGAGGGGGAGGGGAGCGAGGAGTGGCGGAGCAGATTCCCGGGAGGGGGCGTGCTGGATTGAGAGGTGTGTGGGGAGTGGTTGGGAGGGGTGACGGACGACCCCGGCCACTGCTGCTCGAGAGGCGACAGCCCGCCGTCGTTCCCCTCCTCGTCTGCCTGCTCCCGCGGCTTCCAATCCTCCACAGCCGCCACCGCCGCACTGCCCCGCTCCCCCGCTCCCCCATCCGCCCCGCCTCCCTCCTCCCCCTCCGCCACGGGGTGCAGCAGCAGGATGTTTTCGGGTTTGAGGTCGCGATGCAGCACGCCGCGCGCGTGGCAGAACGCCACCGCCTCCGCCAGCTGGCGGAAGACGACGGCGGCGTCCGCCTCGGAGAAGCGCTCGCGGCGCACGATCTCGTGGAAGAGCTCGCCGCCGTGGCAGAGCTGCATGACGAGATGGACGGCTGAGATGTCCTCGAAGGTGGCGTGCAGCTGCACAATGTGCGCGTGGTGCCCCAGCTGCTCCAACACCTGCCCCACCACCGGGGGGGGGGGGGGAGAGGGGGAAGAATGTGTTTGGGTGAGGGGGGGGGGGGGAGATTGGGAGGGAGAGGGGGAATGGAGGAGGAACAGTGGTACATTATGGCGAGAAGGGACGGGTGTTGATGTCGGCGTGAGCCTCAGGCGCGATCTGCAAGCAGGTGCCTTGCCAGTCCGGATGATGACCCGCTTAGTTGTACTCCATACGCTACTACTGTCGGGAAATAGCCCTTGCTTGACAAGCCCAGCATGACGGGCCGCGGGAAAAAAATGCATGAAATTGTTGTGCTTCCGCACCTCGATCTCTCTTCGGACGTCTGCCACGTCAGCGGCGCAGCGAAGGTTGTCCTTGAGAATGCTCTTGCACGCAAACCTCTCGCCCGTGGCGCGATGCCGGCACACGCGCACCACCGACGAGCCTCCATGGCCGATCTCCTCTAAGAACTCGTACGATGCGGTAATATCGGGCGACGGTCGTGATAAAATGGGGTCCCACAGACCCATGGCCTACAGCGACGCGTCGACTATCCTCGCTATTGCACAAGTAGACACTGCGCGTGTGCTTCGCATATCCTTGTCATCGAGTAAGCGACCGAATGGCAAGTGCGTGAGTTTGCTGCATCCAGACAATCTCGACGAGCTCGATATGCGGGTGATGAGATGAGAGGAGTAAGACGGCAATGTCTAGAAACTGATGTCCAGCACGCGCGAAATGCGTTCGGCAGTATCGGAAATGCTGCTATGCTCTCTGTGATGTGTTGACAACTCTGGCTCGCAGCTTCAGTTGATGTGATGTGTGGGCTGTCTTGCTGGGGCGGCGGAGTTGTGTACTTAATGGCTGAGCAGACAGCCAGCAGTTTAAATAAGCGGGGGCACAGCCGAGCAGAGGGAAGTTCCGCGCGCGGGACAAGCTCAAGTTAGGTTTGGGTGGTTTGTTGGGGGGGAGGGGGAGGTCAAACAAGCAATTTGCGGCGGGTTAGACGTTGGGAGCGGAGGAACACTGCAGGGCACACGGCACCTCCCTTGGTTTTTCCCCAACCAGTCAGGTAACCAACCAGTTACCAGTACACATGATGCTCAGCCCCTGCACGCGAATTCGCCCTGACATTCTGGAAACCTTGCACCCGTGGGTTTTTTTCCGTGAAGTTGCACCCACTTTACAAGCCCCTCAGGCAAGCTGCAGTGATTTGCACCAATACTAACCACAGAAACCGAAGTTTGACTGAAGTAACTGAAGTCAGACTGTCAACGGTGAGTTACAACAGTTTTTATAAGCCCTTTTTGCTAGTTGCGAATTGACGAAACCTCTGCGAAATCACCAATAAACCCTTTTTGCAAGAATCGCATTATACGCCCAGAGCGTAAGGCACCCTGGGGAGACTCAACCGGGCATCGCGTGTATCAAGCGCACTCCTCCCACCCACAGCCACACAGTCAGCGCCACTGACACGTAAGAATTGACGCGGAGCCGTTGAGCAGGCAGGAAGCTGCTTGTCGCCGTCAATAAAATTGCCATATTCCGAATCCAGCATGTTGATTAGAGATGTGCGAAGAAGGTCGTGATGGTTACCGGTTACAGTACACTTCTACTGGTTAGGGTTGCTGCTTTCGTTCACTAGGGTCTTTTTTTTTTTTTGCCGATTTCAGAATTTGACCTAAAATTGCTCTGACGACTTTATTTTCACTCATTTTCCTGGTCGGCCATTTCCAAAAGCGCATAGGCTGATCAGCACTCCTCGTGACGCATTAATTGTGCAGATCAGGGCAGCAGTTCTCGACTCTCCGTCTTAATTCTGCTCAGCCATGGCCACAGCGAGCGATGATATCGAGAAGCTTTACGAACATGGGGAGAAACTAGCGAGCTCGAAGGACAAGTCGCAGGTTAGCATTTCGAAAAAGGGAACAGCGTTCCTCTGCCAGGACGACCTATTCTGACGCCCGCCATGATTGTGGCTTGCAGAACGAGAAGGACTACCTCGGGGTCATCGCGGCTGCGACGGGGAGCAGCAAGGCGAAGCTGTTCGCAGCGCAACAGATTCCTCGCTTCTTCAAATTCTTTCCGCAGCTGTCCGCCGAAGGCATCAACGCGCAGCTAGATCTATGCGAGGATGACGACATCAATGTAAGGATGACGACAGCAATGTGTAGATGCCGACAGCAGTGAATCGAGTACAGCGTAAATGCATGGAATAGCGAGTTTTTGCGACGTGCTTTGCCGACGCTGATAGCATACTACCCTGGTCGCTCAGTATTAGCTGGAAGCGACACTGCGTATGGCTGTGGAATGAGATGTAACCATCCCCGGATGCCGTGCCGTGTTGCTCTGGTCAGATTCGACTACCCGCGATTCGAGGGCTCCCATTCCTCTGCAAGGACACACCGGAGCATCTCCCCAAGATCGCTGACGTGCTCGGCCAACTGCTCATTGGAGGTATGCTCGCTGTGATTGAAGCTGGAGGTGCGGCGAGTGTGCATTGGAGGTAGGGCGAGAGTTAATTGCACGTTAGACGCATCAGGCAGCAACTTAGAAGGATAAAAAGTTTGCAACGAGTTCTCAACGTGTGTGCGTGTGCGTGGGTGTGGGTGTGCGTGGCAGAGGAGCCGGAGCATGGAGTGGTGCAGAACTCGTTGATGCAGGTGCTCCGGCAGGACCCCAAAGGTGACTCTGCTTGCTTGCCATGCCTCGTGCTTGCCATGCCATAGTTGCACTCATCTCAGCCGTAGCTGCTCGTGTCATTCGCTGGTTTACTGACGAGTGGTGGCGGTGGCGTGGCAGGGAGTCTGGCGGCCATATTCAAGCACATAGAGAGCTCGGAGGATAAGCTGAGGGAGAACGTGCTGTCGTTCATCCGAGCCAAGGTGTGCCGCTGCTCTTAACGCTTCTCATTAGATGTCCTTGCGCTCGTGCCACTTGAAAACCATGACCTGATATTCTTTCTCGTGATGCGACATCATGGTGACGAGTCTAACCTGTCCCGCCCCCCACACGGCACTATGGCATGGCAGGTGTTTCCGAACAAGGCAAGCGTCCTGGTGCCTCAGGCGGAGATGGAGAGACATGTGACTGACCTGATCAAGGTGAGAGGCACATGTGACTGACCTGATCAAGGTGAGAGAGGGAGCTGATCAAGGTGAGAGAGACAGCTGATCAAGGTGAGAGAGGCAGCTGATCAAGGTGAGAGAGGGAGGTGATCAAGGTGAGAGAGAGAGGTGATCAAGGTGAGAGAGGGAGCTGATCAAGGTGAGAGAGAGAGGTGATCAAGGTGAGAGAGGGAGCTGATCAAGGTGAGAGAGAGAGGTGATCAAGGTGAGAGAGGGAGCTGATCAAGGTGAGACGGAAAGGTGATCAAGGTGAGAGAGGGAGCTGATCAAGGTGAGAGGGACGCGTGATCAAGGTGAGAGGGACGCGTGATCAAGGTGAGAGGGACGCGTGATCAAGGTGAGAGGGACGCGTGATCAAGGTGAGAGGGACGCGTGATCAAGGTGAGAGGGACGCGTGATCAAGGTGAGAGGGACGCGTGATCAAGGTGAGAGGGACGCGTGATCAAGGTGAGAGGGACGCGTGATCAAGGTGAGAGGGACGCGTGATCAAGGTGAGAGGGACGCGTGATCAAGGTGAGAGGGACGCGTGATCAAGGTGAGAGGGACGCGTGATCAAGGTGAGAGGGACGCGTGATCAAGGTGAGAGAGACGCGTGATCAAGGTGAGAGGGACGCGTGATCAAGGTGAGAGGGACGCGTGATCAAGGTGAGAGGGACGCGTGATCAAGGTGAGAGGGACGCGTGATCAAGGTGAGAGGGACGCGTGATCAAGGTGAGAGGGACGCGTGATCAAGGTGAGAGGGACGCGTGATCAAGGTGAGAGGGACGCGTGATCAAGGTGAGAGGGACGCGTGATCAAGGTGAGAGGGACGCGTGATCAAGGTGAGAGGGACGCGTGATCAAGGTGAGAGGGACGCGTGATCAAGGTGAGAGGGACGCGTGATCAAGGTGAGAGGGACGCGTGATCAAGGTGAGAGGGACGCGTGATCAAGGTGAGAGGGACGCGTGATCAAGGTGAGAGGGACGCGTGATCAAGGTGAGAGGGACGCGTGATCAAGGTGAGAGGGACGCGTGATCAAGGTGAGAGGGACGCGTGATCAAGGTGAGAGGGACGCGTGATCAAGGTGAGAGGGACGCGTGATCAAGGTGAGAGGGACGCGTGATCAAGGTGAGAGGGACGCGTGATCAAGGTGAGAGGGACGCGTGATCAAGGTGAGAGGGACGCGTGATCAAGGTGAGAGGGACGCGTGATCAAGGTGAGAGGGACGCGTGATCAAGGTGAGAGGGACGCGTGATCAAGGTGAGAGGGACGCGTGATCAAGGTGAGAGGGACGCGTGATCAAGGTGAGAGGGACGCGTGATCAAGGTGAGAGGGACGCGTGATCAAGGTGAGAGGGACGCGTGATCAAGGTGAGAGGGACGCGTGATCAAGGTGAGAGGGACGCGTGATCAAGGTGAGAGGGACGCGTGATCAAGGTGAGAGGGACGCGTGATCAAGGTGAGAGGGACGCGTGATCAAGGTGAGAGGGACGCGTGATCAAGGTGAGAGAGACGCGTGATCAAGGTGAGAGGGACGCGTGATCAAGGTGAGAGGGACGCGTGATCAAGGTGAGAGGGACGCATGATCAAGGTGAGAGGGACGCGTGATCAAGGTGAGAGGGGCGCGTGATCAAGGTGAGAGGGACGCGTGATCAAGGTGAGAGGGACGCGTGATCAAGGTGAGAGGGACGCGTGATCAAGGTGAGAGGGACGCGTGATCAAGGTGAGAGGGACGCGTGATCAAGGTGAGAGAGACGCGTGATCAAGGTGAGAGGGACGCGTGATCAAGGTGAGAGGGACGCGTGATCAAGGTGAGAGGGACGCGTGATCAAGGTGAGAGGGACGCGTGATCAAGGTGAGAGGGACGCGTGATCAAGGTGAGAGGGACGCGTGATCAAGGTGAGAGGGACGCGTGATCAAGGTGAGAGGGACGCGTGATCAAGGTGAGAGGGACGCGTGATCAAGGTGAGAGGGACGCGTGATCAAGGTGAGAGAGACGCGTGATCAAGGTGAGAGGGACGCGTGATCAAGGTGAGAGGGACGCGTGATCAAGGTGAGAGGGACGCGTGATCAAGGTGAGAGGGACGCGTGATCAAGGTGAGAGGGACGCGTGATCAAGGTGAGAGGGACGCGTGATCAAGGTGAGAGAGACGCGTGATCAAGGTGAGAGGGACGCGTCATCAAGGTGAGAGGGACGCGTGATCAAGGTGAGAGGGACGCGTGATCAAGGTGAGAGGGACGCGTGATCAAGGTGAGAGGGACGCGTGATCAAGGTGAGAGGGACGCGTGATCAAGGTGAGAGGGACGCATGATCAAGGTGAGAGGGACGCGTGATCAAGGTGAGAGGGGCGCGTGATCAAGGTGAGAGGGACGCGTGATCAAGGTGAGAGGGACGCGTGATCAAGGTGAGAGGGACGCGTGATC